TTAATTTGTACGCGAGATCTATTTACCTAAAATTAAAAATTCAAGGATTAAATTTACCAAAACTCAACAATTTAGGTACTAAATTTATAATTTAATGTTTGAAATATAATAGAGAAAGAAATTTATGTAATTTATTATGAAATTAAATTAAATTAAATGCACAAATTTATTAGTTTCTTTTTTTTTTTTTTTTTTTTTTGTNGGAGGGAGGTATTTTAACTTCTAATTTATTTGCAATAATAATTGACATATATTTTTTTTACATAAAAAAGAAAAAAAGAAAAAGAAGTAAATATTTGTATATTTGTTTTTCCTTGTAAACATATTAATATAGTAGGATTTATTAAAAGATCAATCCAACTATAAAACATTGGGCCATGGATCTTTCCTCTTGGGCCAACAATACTGAAGCCCAAATAACGTAATATTCTTATTTGGGCCATTTTCTGCCCAACTCAATGACGAGAGCCGAGTCGAGGATTAGTAAATGAATTTGAATAATGCAACTGACGTGGCTATTACTACGTTGATTGGGAAATAAAAGTCAATTTTTATTATTTAGAAATTATTATTATATTTAATTCGAGTAAAAAAAACTTGAATGTTAAAAAATTAAATAGAGTATTTTAAAGTATATACAGCCAAATAATATATCAATTATTATTTATTGATGATCTGTTACATCAGATCGGGAGCTAAAAGAAAAAAAAAAAAAAAAAAAAAAAAGAAATGAAAAATCATGTGGCAGGCAGCCCCTAATGTTTTGACATATTTGATTTAGTTAATAATTATTATTATTTTCTTTTTTGAGAAGGAACATACAAATTTGTTCTTATTATTTTTTTGTCAATAATAATATTAATAATGAGGACAATACATGGGGCGGCTCCGATCCAAACGACAAAGTCTTGCAATCATTTATAGCGGTTCTAATTTATTATAATTATTCTCGTTTTATTTATGTAAGTTTTTTTAATAATGAAAAAACTAAAATGGATCACGTATATAGACACACCCCACATTTATTATATACTAATTTGGTATGTTTAAAAAATAATGGAATATATATAATATTCTTAATAAGGATAAATTTGAAAAATAATAAATTACATTAATTATGTAATAAAAATTAATTCATAACATTTTTCATTTATTTATTAAATAAAAATATAAAAAGTCGAAATAATTATGGAACATTTTTTGAATGGAGAGAAAATATATGTTAATTTAATATATTATCATCTATTAGAGTTTATATGACTTTTTTTAATATAAATTTATTTTTTAACATTTAAAAATTAAATTAAATTAATATATCAAGTACCGACATAACGTTAGAAAATAAGTAAAAGAAAACCTTTACTTTTGTAAAGTTGACAAATTCCCTAATATATGGATAAAAGAAAGAGTGAGTTATTCTCATGCCACTTGTACCTTAGAAATAAATTTATTTAAAAATTTTGAGATTTTAAAATAAAGTAACAAAAAAAAAAAAAAAAAACAAGAATTTACGTGGAGAATTTCAAAACTACGAGAAACTTTAGAATCTGTATCTATTTTTCGAGATAGAACAACTCATTAATTTTCAAACAAGGTTTTGATTGCATAAATGCTATGAGAAGCAAGAAAGTCCCACAATACCCATCTCTTAGCCTATTTTCTCCACAAATTCAAACTCCAATAATTCAACAATCCTTCGCTCGATGATTTTGTTGGATTCGTTTGTTCAATCATAAGGTTCATTTTAGGCTCGTAATTGTTTTGAATAATTTTTTGAGACATTAGTTATTTGATAGATGTAAGTATTGTATAGGGATCTCGTCCTTTTATGTATTGATTTTTTTTCTTAAACATTGTTATCGACGAATGTTCATAAATACATTGCAAACATAATACTAATATAATTGAAACAAAAAACAAACGATACTTGATCTGCCTAATAAACATATTGTCTAAGTACGGAACCTAACTAACAATACTTGATTTCATAGCCTCCTCAGTAACACGATCACCTATACATAAGGTTATTGGCTTTACTTATAAAAATATTAGATTTAGAATGAGTATTTAAAAATAATTCATAAGTGACTCTATTATTAGGGTCAAAAAATGCAGTGAAACCTATTTTTCAGGATTGTTTCTTAAGTTCCACTGGAAACCAATGAAAAAAAGGAGCGGGCAGAATATTGTAGTGTACGCATATATACCTAACAAATTGTAGAAGTAATCCATGCTTGTGATATTTAACATGCTTAGATCTAAAATTTTAAAATCATGATACAATGTTTTGATGCACATAATACTTTTCATATTCATCCATATTTTATACATACTTGTTATATACAATGTGTCATAATATCTCATCCACCATAACATAAATATAACCATATTATAAATATATATAATTAATAAACTAAAAGCGTGATGAGGTTGAGAGTGGGAATTATGTTGTGGATAAAGTCGGGCCCCACCCATGGTCCATTGACGTCCTTGTCGTCTTTACATTTAATTATAAAGCTTTAATGCATTTGTTTTCAAAATCACGTCCATCTGCCATTTTTTAGCTTTTCAGTTGAATTTCAGAGAGATCGAATCATACATCTTTAAATTATAATTAATATTTTATTCAAATATATATATATATATATATATTTATTTATTTATTTATTTATTGAAGTAAACTTATTATACAAGATTCTTAAAAACTCATTTATAGTATGATGTAATATATTCTGCCACACATTTTATAGATACATTTTTGTATGTTTTTTTAGTGAATAATTTATTTATGTTTAAATTTTATTCTCTAAAGTTGTCTGATTATTTTATTTTAGTTCCAAATATTAGACTACTTTTTTTTTATTCCCTAAACTTTTGTGTTTATTTATTTATTTATTTTTTAATCAAAGCTTTCGAGATAAAATTGAAAAAAGAATTAAGAGGTTTTTAGTTAAACGAGACAAAAAAAACTTAATTCCTACTCTATAACCTAACGGTTTGCCTTTAAATAGACTCCCAAGACTCAAATACTTACTACATCATGGATCAAAACAAAAAGACAAAAATACCCTCTTTAATATATCATGCAAAGGATAAAATTGGAAAGTAATAAAGTTATATCAAAATTATTATATAAAATATGAATAATAATTTGATGTCCTCGATGTCGATACTTCATATCACTAGCTAAGAGCGTCGAGATGCTACACCTTCTATCATAGTTATCAAAATATTTTGGGACATCATCAAGACACTATCCAACTTCGGATAATTCATTTAGAGAAGTTTTAACCTAAAGCAAACTTTATGACTCGTGAGCTTGGACGAAAGTTTCGAAGTCTATGGAAGAGATGCTCATGCTCACATTACCTATTTGCATCCTAAGAAATAAGAAAATTTTCAATAAGTCATCTAATATAGAATTGTTCCAAAAAAACACGCTTAGAGAATTGCATTTTAGTTGCAATCTTCTTTAAATTACTATCTTAGTCGGTATTACTCTTTTGTCATCAACTTTTTTATTTGTTCTCTTGTGTGTATTTTATTTGTTCTCTTGTGTGTATTAACATTGGCATAAATTCGAATAAAATATAAATTCGCTCCAATTTTAAAGGGTAGAACAGGAATAGCACATAAGACCAAATAATTACTATTAAAAAATATAAGAAATAAAAATAGACATTTTAAAATATAATTACAGGAAAAAAAGAAACCAAGATAAAACAAATTTATAAGTTCAATGATTAAAGCTAAATATAAAAAAGTCAAATATAAATTTAATTTTAAATTGTTTTATTGTTTGTGTTTAATAAGATTTTTTTTTTAAAAAAAAGAATTAAATAAATTATTGACTAGTCTTATGTAATATGCCATTAATATTTTTAACATTTGGATCCATTATTTTTTTAAAAAAAATCAAGTGGGTAGAATTTGGTGGCATAAAAATTAACCACCCTCCGATCCGATCCGACCCATTCTGACAATCCAACCTAAACCATAAAACATAGGGTTGCAATAACTTTTTTTCCAATTTGAGTTCGGTTGAAAATTTAAAAAATCGAAAAATTAGAGTCGGTCCATGAATTTGATATTCTTTTAATTGAGTCAACTTGAAAATAAGGTTATAACCTAACCCAACCATGCAAAGCTTGTTACAAATATTAAGAATATTCAGCTTTTATAAACGATACTAGTAATGAGTTGTGACGTATGAATGTTTCATATTTGAGTAAGATTTTAATTATATATGTAAAATATTTAAAAACAAGGACTAAATAAATAAGTCTAAAATTGTGGTTAAAAAAAAGAGTGTGTAATTAATTAGAGGTAAAATATGTTCGGTTTGAGATGAACATGAGAGAGGGTTGAAATCACAGACAAAAGAAATGGATCACGAGATTTGTAATTTAATAAATAAAAAGGAAAGGGATCACATTCCATTTTTTATTTTTTTCGTTCTTTGCTATCCAAAATAATTTTAGATTTAGTTGATCGATGGGTGAGGTGAGCTGGCATTTGCGACGTCAGGGGGATCCTGCGTCAAACTTTCTTAACAGGACTAATCCTCACGCCACAAACTTCTGTATTTTCTTCTCTCTCTCTCTCTCCCATGAAAGATTCATACTGCAAAACCGTCTCAGAATCCACCTTTCTCCATTCCATCTTCCTCCATTCCATCTTCCTCCATCCCACCTCCTAATCCCATTCATTTCCCTCTTTCTGATCGTTTTCCAAGGCCTGCGAAGCTTATTACTCGACACGGCACTCATCCGATGGACGAGAGTTCAGAGAACGCCCGCGAAATTGATGGCTCTGAGAGGCAGGTGGAATCGCTGTTCTCACAGGATCGAGATTCTATATCGATGATGCTAGGGGAGCCGCTATTGCGTTCCAGTACTGCTAGGATCAGCACCACCTCTCAGCTCGCCATTGTTGGTTCGAATATCTGTCCGATTGAGAGTCTTGACTATGAGTATGCTGTTTATATTCCTTACTTTTTTTTTAATGAGCCGATGGATTGATTTTTTGTTTGTTGATTCTTTTCTTTGCGTTTGGGATTATGCGGTGGATGATATCATTTTTGGTTAATTGGATTCTACTGTTCACAATTCAACTTCTCCTCTTTGTTTTCCTTCCGATTGCTGTGTTTTTTTCCTGAAAAGTTCTGCATGTTATTTTGTTTTCCAACAATGTAGGGTATGGGAAAAGCGCTTCTCATGTGTATGGTTTGGTTCTGTTTTTATCTTTTGTGCTCAATTATCAGATGATCTTGTATGGTATGTTGTAAGAAAAGCTCATTTTCCGTGAATTCTTCTTGCTTGCATCTAATTGTCTATCTAACTTTGTTGAATTGGAAATTGATGCATAAACTGGCCTACGCAAAAAACAGGGCATCCTGGGTGATATTTTCAGTAATCAACAGAAATTCTTTTCTTTGGGATTTGGATTTGCCATTGGTTGGATGTCTTGGCCTTTTATTTTTGAAATTCCTCTGGAAGTATGTTGGATTAGTGACCTATTAAGCTATTCCAAGAGGATGGTTGCCTTGTTAGTTCTTCTGCTATTTAACTTTTCTTCTCTGAATAAATGTAGAAAGAGAGTTGTTATTTAATAATTTGTTTTGAGTACGTATGACTTCTCTGTATAGTCTTAATTCCTGTATTTTTCTAACTCTGAGAGTTATTTCCCTTTTGTTCATTTCATCTGTGTTTTATTAACTACATTCAACTTGAAATAAGTAAAAATTTGCATGATCATAGAAAATTATGCTTAATTATAATTAAAAAAAAAAAAAAAATGCAAAAATGACCTCTTTATTCTTTTATCTTGGACTTTTCACAATCTAAAACTTTCTGTGGTGTTCTTGTTTTCTACTGTTCTGTTAGGAATGCAAATAATGTTTTATATAGGCTATTTTGATTCTAAATAAATTCTTCACTTTCTTTTTTTTTTTTTTACATTCGTAACAGGATTATTGAGAATGACCTTTTCATGCAAGACTGGAGGTCCAGAAGAAAGATCGAGATATTTCAGTATGTTATCCTCAAATGGGCACTGTGCCTTCTTATTGGTTTAGTTACAGGACTCGTTGGCTTCTTCAACAACATAGCTGTTGAGAATATTGCTGGTCGTAAACTTCTGCTGACGAACAATCTCATGCTCCAGGAAAAGTAAGCTTTGAGTGACATGCAGTTTAGTATTCGATTCACATAGCATGAAAGAATTTTACAAGGCTATGTTCAAGTCTTCAAATAGACTTTGTGATAATGAGTGTTATCTCTGTCCCTTACAATTCAATACAAAGGGTTAGGTACTCCAATAATTATGTTAAGTATGATTCTTTTATAATAACGTTAAGAAGGATACAAGGAATAAATTAATTTTGATCTGATGGCTTAAGCATTTAGGATTTGTTGTGTTGTACCTATAGTAACAGGCTTAATAGAGTAATAATATAAGAACTGTTTGAGTTTCTTGATCATTGTGTTCTTCCCTTTAAAATTAATAGTTTGCCTGTTATGCCTTCTTAATCAAGACATGCTCCAAGTTTGCATTAGGGGAATTCTTAGAACTTAAAAATAAATATAAATTAATCCTGATCATGTGGTTTATACTTTCTGAGACCAGGTAATTGAGCACTTCTCCACTTTTCTTGTCATGAGGTTTGAGGATTCAGACACCTTCTCAATCAGTATTTGTTATCCAGCACAATGTTGTATTATTCTTATACTGTAATTATCAAGCATACCAATTCATTGAGGAAACAATTCTTTTACTGTAATTGATTTGAATGATCTCAAAATCTCACCAAACTGCAAAGTTGTTCACTTGGGTTCTATGATTTTTCTTGCGCGTTTCTTTCTCCATATACCCATCTGAAATTTATGTGTCATTCATACACATTATATATTACACCAACTATGAGATGACCCTAGATTCTTTGCAGGTACTATCTGGCTTTTTCAGTATATGTGGGTTCCAATATTGTTTTAGCTTTTTCTGCTGCCGCGCTTTGTGCCTATATTGCTCCTGCTGCTGCAGGTTCTGGCATACCTGAGGTGAAAGCATACCTCAATGGTATAGATGCTTATTCTATACTGGCTCCAAGTACCTTATTTGTGAAGGTAAGTCTCATTGCAGAAACATCCCATTTTCTCTTTCTCTTGAATCACCATCGCATATAGCAAAAGTATTTTGAATGATCTAGGATCCTAAACGCTCAAGTATTTTCAGCCGATGCAAATAAAAGCTAGGTTATCATTGTGAGTGGAAACATGCATTATTTTCTAAATAAGGAAACCTCTTAATACAATACATCATGTGATATGATCATCCTCATGTATCAATTATCCATCGCAAATATATCATCTATCATAATGCACACATGTATTAAGTGGATACACTATTTAGCTTTAATGTCTATTATTTTTAACGAGAGACAATTATTTCATTGAAAAAATGAAATATACGAAGGACATTCTAAAAGGACTTGAAATTTACTCCGTCCTAGAAAGATGTGCATGGAAAATTGTGTCTGAAGATTCCATAAAGTCGCTACGAACTTTCTGAGTGGTTCTTATATCAGTCCAACCAAATCATTGAAAAAGATCTGGTTCATGCGATCATGGGTCAAGTGGCTTTTCACGGTTTGAGTCCTTATTTTGATAAGGGCTCATCTACTGCAGAAACAGGTAGAAGAAAATGATTTTTTTTTCTTACACTTCCTTTACTAAAGCAGAAATGGTTTGAATATTTGAGGTTCCAAAGATCTGTTTTGCTTTCTAAAAATAATTTTTCTTATTCTGAAACTCTTTTCCAAGGGAAGTTTGATGATTACTTTATGTAGACTTTCAATTTTATGATAAACTTCAATACCGGGAGTTTTTGGTGTGAGAAAATATCAGTAGCTAGACAAAGATTCTGAGGAGTTATATGAACTTCCAAATTTTGGTTATTTGAATTGTCTTCACTGAAAAGATGATACACCCCTCCACAGATTTACTTTTGCCAGGTGGATCCAGTTTCAAACATATTTTTTTCAGTTGGAGTTTTTACATACCTAACTACAAGGAGTGGCATTTTTGTTTTAGAGTTTCTGTTTTAATGTGTTAGTTTTAGTTGGTTGTCAATCCTTCTTCATGTAGTTTTATTGGTGGGTTAGTTTGTTGTTATGTTTAACCTTTGAATATTATTGAAATTGGAGTAAAAAAATTATCTTTTAATCCTGGGCGTCTTGGTATCTTAGATACTAGGCTAAGGACATCTCCATTTTTTTCCTCCTCCTTGCTTATGCTTTTATATAATCAATTGTATTTTTTTTCAAAAAATAACTATAAATAGTTATACATATTTTTCTAATGAATGATTAACCTTGTCCAGCACCCCGCCCCACCCCCCCCAAGAAAAAAAAACAAACAAAATAAGGTGTTCATTAAGGCTAATAAGACTGTTCTACTGCCAGTGCCCTTGTGATGAGAATGTTATCTCAATTCGTTGTCTCACTCACTCTTGCAGTTAAATCAGTTTGTATGACTCCGAAGGGCCGTCTTCTTTAGTAATTTAGATCTAAATGAACACTAAGAACTTGCTGTTTTTTTTTTCCTTGGCCTGCTGGTTCAAATTATTCTTTTATTTCGAAGTTCAGTGGATTTTCTACAACATCTCAAGGGGTTTTTGGGCTCATAAGTCAAGCTTATTGTGGATGATCTCAGTTTGAGCTTTACTTTCAGCATTTTGGTTGGAGAGGAATCAAAGGATTTCTGAAACTGATCTCTTTCATTGGTTCAGTCATTTTTGGTCTGCTAGATTAACAGCTTCTTCTTTGTGTTATCATTTTAAGCATTTTTGTCGGTTTTTTTCATTTCAAGATTTGTTTTGATTTGGATGCTTTTACCTTTCTTTTATCTTTCTGTTTTATTCTCTCTCCCTTGTGGAGTTTGTATCTCTTGAGGATTAGTCTCTTTTAATTTTTTTCAATTAAAAGTTCCGTTTCTTGTTAAAAAAAAGTGAACATTGATAACATTGATAACATTAATAACATTAATTATAGGTAAGCAGTTCAAAGCCTCTCTCGTGTTTATGGTCCTGAGGAAATTGAGATCATCTTAAATTATCGGCTGCTAACCATTATGATGATCAATTTTAGAAAATCTTTCAATAACCATGCGGGTTAACTTGGCAGATTTTTGGCTCTATATTTGCTGTTGCCGGTGGATTTGTTGTGGGTAAGGAAGGGCCCATGGTTCATACTGGTGCGTGCATTGCCTCATTACTGGGACAAGGAGGCTCTCGCAAATACCGCTTGACCTGGAAGTGGCTGAGATACTTCAAAAATGATAGGGACAGGCGGGATTTGATCACGTGTGGTGCAGCAGCTGGTGTGGCAGCTGCCTTTCGAGCTCCAGTTGGTGGCGTTCTCTTTGCACTTGAAGAAGCAGCTTCATGGTCTCTCTCTCTCTCTGTCCACAGCACCAAATTATTCATTTTTTGCTGCTCAGTTTTTAGTCAACCTCTAGGGATATTAGAGACAAACTTGATCTTAGAAAAGAAAATCCAGAGTCTAAACCTACATAGCTTAGTTTACTTGGCTAAGAGAGGAAATTTAAGTTGATAGAGATAAGATGCGGAAGTTTTGACTCTTGATTTTACTCAATGTTAACCGTGGTCTTGTCTTTTTTGGCTTCCTCTGGTATCTTGATTTTACTGAATGTGTTGTACTGCTTTCACATTCACACGGAATCTATTTACTTTTTTTTCTTAAACAATGAGGAACATTTGGAACGAAGGTAGGTTCAATTCTGTATCTTATTTACCAGGTACAGCTTATGAGGTTTTCATCTTCTCTCTCCATCATCATTGATAGATAATCTGTGTTGTTGAAATGGTAGGTGGAGGAGTGCTCTTCTCTGGAGGACCTTTTTCACTACTGCTGTAGTAGCCGTTGTCTTGAGGGGTTTCATGGAATTTTGCCGAGGGGGGCAATGTGGGTTATTTGGTGAAGGAGGTCTCATCATGTTTAACATTCATACAGAAAACTCCACTTATGGCACTCCAGATCTTATTGCAATTGTTTTACTTGGAGTTATTGGTGGTGTGTTTGGAAGCCTTTACAACTACCTCGTGGATAAGGTCCTTCGAACCTACAGCATCATAAATGAGTATGCTCCGAAGTTTGTCTTTTACAATTGTGGGAGTAAAGTTAACTTCCTCTGTTTTTGTTTTAGACCATTTACAGTCCTGTTATTGTACAGTTTTGCCTTCACTGACAGTTGATATTATATTGCAGGAGAGGTCCTGGATCGAAAGTCATTCTTGTTGTTAGCATTTCCCTATTGACAACATGTATCTCATTTGGTCTTCCTTGGCTCTCACAATGTTTACCTTGCCCACCTAACTTGGAAGACGAATGCCCAACCGTTGGTCGCTCAGGAAACTACAAGAATTTCCAATGCCCGCCTGGCCAATATAATGATCTTGCGTCGCTATTTTTCAATACCAATGATGATGTCATCCGCAACCTGTTCACATCTGCTACTGACAAGCAATTTCAGCTCTCCTCACTTTTTATCTTCTTTACTTCTATCTATTTTCTTGGCATTATTACTTATGGCATTGCCGTGCCCTCGGGGCTCTTCATTCCTGTAATACTGGCAGGGGCCTCTTATGGTCGCATTGTAGGGAGATTATTTGGTTCAGTTGCCACTCTTGATGTCAGTCTCTATGCCCTTCTCGGAGCTGCATCCTTCCTTGGTGGCACTATGAGAATGACTGTTTCTCTAT